TCGAGCAGCGCTTTGCCTCTCGTTGGCCCATAGATTTCTTGAGTCAGGTAGAGGTCATCCACGCACGAGAGGAAGCTCTGCGACCACTCAGATTTTGCTGAGCGATCGTCCCATGAGATTTCTGGGTAATTGAAGTCACCCATGACAACCATGGTCCTGGAGCAAGCTTCCTCAGCCAGTTCCTGGGCAAACTCCTGGTCAAGCTCAGGACTTTGGGTGGGAGGTCTGTAATAGACTCCCACCATTGTGTCCCCTGTGCCGTGTTCCCCACAGATTTTAACCCAGAGGGTCTCCAGCCGTCCACCCTGGTCGCCAATATCGGCTTACAGGGACGTGTAGCTTTCCTTAACATAGAGAGCTACCCCCCCCGCCCCTTTTCTCTACACGATCCCTCCTGTACCGGGTATAGCCATCTATCCCCGTGGTCCAGTCATGGGTGGAGTCCCACCAGGTCTCCGTTATCCCTATGACATCGTAATTGTTTGCACTGAGCATGAGGATGAGCTCCTCCTGCTTATTCCCCAAGCTCCTGGCATTAGTGTACAGGCAGGCAAGTGCCCCCTGGGGGGCTCCTTCCTTGCCCACAGATTTTACCAGGGCTGGGGCAGGGGTGGGCTCCCTGAAGCGCCATGATCTGCTGGCTTTGCAAGGATTGCTCAGCCGGCCAGCAGTGGCGGGAGTCCCCCCCCCCCCCCCCCGGCTTAGTTTAATAGTATAGATGGCTATAGCTGAGAAGAGCCTCCTCCCTAGGGGAGAGAGGTGGAGGCCATCCCTTCCCAGCAGCTCGCTGCCTCTCTCGCCAAAGAGCGGGCTGTGGTCATGAAAGCCAAAGCCTTCCTGACAACACCAGCGCTGCAGTCTTTGGTTGACCACATAGATCCTCCTGTCCCTTCTCAGCCAGATGCCAGAAAGCATCACAGATCCTCTTCTCCCACCACCGTCTCCTCCTACACAAAGGAGCTGTCTTATTCCCAGCAAAGCCCTGTGCTAGAGAAGCATAGGTTCTTTATCTTGCTGTGTTGGAAACCATGTAGAGTAGTCTTAAGCCAAAGGGAAATTTTTCCTATATAAAACCATAAGAGAGCTTTCCATCTCCCTTCATCCATTGTTAGGAAAGAGAGGGGGATTACAGTCAGGAGATTGAGATCACTGGTTCTGAAATTCCATAGGGACTGAGAACTCAAAGATGTCTCTTCTTCCTATTTACAATTGATGCAACAGTCGCATTCCTGGGAAAGGCATTATTTCCCCCAAATACCCTCCCAGAAGGGATTCTGATCTTCTTCTGCTATTATCAGTCCCTCCCTAGCAACCACCAACTTCAATAAGGGCATGTTGTCCCAGAACAATGACTTAACAGGAGAGACTTCTGTAGAACCGTGACAAATTCAGTTCACTGCTATAGATGTTGTATTCATAGTGGGTAGCTCCATCAGTCTTACTGTTAACAAGGACAAGGATCTACTTGACAGGCAGGTAGAGAAAGGATTGCCGTATAGATATTCTGAAGTTTAAGGATTCCACATATGCTGCCTTCTTTCTCTGTCCAGTTTCAAGCAATACTGAGAAATAATGATCCATCTTGAAGGATCTCTCTCACCTCCCAGAGCTAGGAGCAGTAGAGCCTGTCTCAATGAAAAGTGCTTGGAACTCTAACCCAAATTCGCCATGCGATAATTAGGACAGCTCTGTCTCCTGCACAGCTTTGACCTTTAGTGGCTGAGCAGATAATGAGGATGAGGATTATGAATTCAGAATAGAGAACTGCCCCCTTTCATCTGTCTCCTTTCTTGGATCTTCTAGTCTTACATGCAGAGATTGCTCTGTGGGCAAGTCTGCACATGAGAGCTCCAGGGATTCTTATTACAGGCTTGGAACCACAGCTAACAAGAGGTGCAGAGGAAAAAAGGAACACCACCGTCATCAAGCCAGTCAATGACTGTAAAAAAACCCCACAACCTGCCTCTGCAATCTACACCTCAAAGTAGTGACCACAGACACTTGTCTTTAAGACTAGGAGCATATTTAGGGCCTCGGGATCAAAGAGCATTACATCCCAAGAATTTAGAACAGTCTAGACTCTTTGGGCCTTTTCATAATGACCTGAAGGAGGAGACTGAAGCAAAATGGAACACAGTACAGAAGCAGATTGGGCAGTCCATCAGTAAGGGATGGACTAATGAAAGTGGTCACTGAAACATAAAGTATTCCAGCAGAGATTCAGCAGGCCAGTTTATCCCCAGGGACACCTTTTCACATTCAGTCCAAATGGGAAATCCAAGTTCTTCATTGGGAATAATTGGGAACTGAAGCGCTGATTACCTGATAGCCAGGACTTCTTCACCATTCCTTTCCCTTTCTGCCTTCAGCCGGATTGATTCAAATGTTATTTAAAAAAAAAGCAGTAGTAGTGCTGGTCATTCCCCTTACTGCCATGTGACCCAAATGTGATTATAGTTCAAGCCAAGAGGAGCAGTCACAGAGCCCTTCAGCCCACCTTCCCAGCAGACAGGACCTCCTGTCACTCAGTCTGCTCCTGTATCACAGTCTAAACTATTTGAACATGACAGTTAAGTTGTTCAACAGTGATTGTTTCCTAAAGATGATTGGATGCACCTGCAAAGCAATGTTTCTTGTCTTAGCCTTCTGTGTGTCTTCTACCATTGCAGGCTCTGCAGAGAACACAAAGAAAATTCCTTTGCTGATGTAAGGGAGGAAGGATCAACTGAGACATGCCAATCTTGAATTTCTGCCAGGTCATGCAGGACTTGGACCTCTGACCTCCCAGAATCACCTTTCATGTCTCATTCCTAAACAGAGCTGTAAGAGCAGGAACATGCAAGTCCCTGCCTCACAATGTCAATGTTCTTTAGAGTAGCGCATCTAGCCAAACCTGCATCTCTTCGTCACCTGTATAGTGTTACAAGCTCTCCCAACCTGTCCCATTCAGAAATAATGGCATCTCTTTTAGTTGTATTTCCCCTCCATGAAGATGTGGCTTCTGCTCAGAGTCATGTTAACCCAAAGTCTGCAAAGTCTCTGCTCTGCAAAGACTCATATGTTGCTGCATAGTCTGCAAAGGTAACATAGTTTCATGATGCATATCTCAGTTATTCATCACTGAGGTAACTCTTCCTTCTCCACTCGATGGATACTCATTCCTCCTTCATTTGCTGAAAGGAAGAAGTGTGGTGCGTGCTAGATACAAAAACAGCTGCTATAATTGACCTTAGTCAAAACAGTCAGTTCAAGCAATATCATTTTCATTTTGTTTTCTTTCAATAACTGGACTTGAAAACATCAAGATCCTCCACAGACAGTTGGACCCAAGTGCTGCATTTCTGAAGTATCTTCAGACCACACACGAGCCAATTCTAGATGGGGGCAGAGCTCACTCGCCCTCTTCCCTGTCATTGGTCACTAGCTGCCACCTGGTCATCCCTTAGCATCTTTTCTGTTCATTCTTGGCTTTACCTCCAGTCCTTGGTGGTAGTGTCTGTCAGAAGGAAGCAGCACCCATAGAACACCAACACTGTTGGTTTTAGAGAAGAGTAAGTTTTCTTTTTTTGTTCTCTCTATCACTCCCTGTCTGCTAGCACCTTTTCTAAATGCCTTCTAGTTCTGACTGGGAAGGAGGTCAGGATTCTGCATGGAATGGTGTTTATTTGACAATTTCCTCTCTGGGACTGACCTCCCTCCCAACCCCCATCCACCCTACCTGAAATATGTTCTTCAGATGCTACTCCACTGACCTAGGCACCTAAAGGTAATACAGTCAATGTTGAGTACCGTTTGTTGGTTAACAGCAATCCAGTGTTTTAATGCAGATTTGGAAGTGCCTTTCATAGTGCAAGGGCAGAAGAGACGTGGTTAAGCCCATGAGACCTGTTGGAACTGCCTCCAGGGTTTGGAGAAAGAGGTGCCAGCCCACATGTCTCAGACCAGGGGAGAGCTCATTCCTGAAAAGGAAGCCATCGGTTGACAAGTTTGTGCTACTTTTCTTGAGCACACCAGTTCCAGGCAGGTCACTGCAAGCAGGGAAGAAAAAGTAGGGATCCATCAAGGAAGTCATCACAACAGTTCCATTTGGGCAACCCAAATGAACCCCAATCTTGGAAGGCCAAACAGCTGCCTCTGCTGAGACTCTTTAAACTCCAATCTGGTGGAACTTGCAGTCGCATGTGGGAGCGAGCCGGGGCGGGAGCATGGCATGCAGAACTTTCCTCCTGGTTTTATTTTCTCAGCCACTAGCATGCCTTTGCACTGATGCATGGTGGGAAAGTGGTCCATCCATGGAGCCAGATGGAAGCAACTGGGCACATTCCTTTGACAGGTGACACTAGCCCACTGCCTTCTATGCAAGATGCTGCCTCCCAATTGCATAGACATTACCAGATGGGGATACACGACATTCCAGCTATGGGTTATCTGACAATATGCAGCAGTGCATGGGACCCAGGAGGAGGAAAGCAACCACAGAGTCCATGGGACACTATTGGTTCCTTTAAGTCACCTTGGTACCCACTGCCACATTTGAGTTACCCATTGCTTGTGTGCCATGTATCTGATTTATACCACTTGTGCACAGCCCTGGGACTGGCAGAGCAACTGTACTTTTTAAAGGACTGGGAAGGGAAACAGGGAAGTGACTGCCAGTGCTGCAGAGAATACTGGAGCTGGCCAGCAGCAGCAGCAGCAAGGAGCTGGAGAGGCAGGTGGTTTCTGCTGGTGTTCCTGGGTCTGTGTGAAGAGTGATATAAATCCACATCAGGACAGATTCTTGTGTATGATTTGCCTTGATTAACGGGTTTCCTGTTCTTTCCCTGTTTGTCCGTTTGTTTTTTCTCTCCTGTTCCCTGTATTATTTTCTTTGTTTGTTTTTGCTCTCTGGGAATGCCTCCTTTCCTCTCTCCTCTCCTCTCCTCTCTGCATCTTCCTCCCATCCCCTGCCCCGCTCCTCTTTCTTGCCCTGTCCCACTCCCTTCCCCCTCCATGAGCAGTGGCCGCATCCATTACACTGAGATGTATGAAATGCTGACTCTCATGTCACCACCGCTAGGCCTCGGCAAGAGATGTCCCTCCAAAGTGGCCTATAAGGTAGATCAACCCTTCCTTCTTTCCGGGCTAGTACTGAGCAGGAAATGGGGCAGGAGGGACTTGGGGATGGGGATATGATGTATATTCAGGAAGATCTTATCAGAAATGTCCCACTGCACAAGGACGTCCACTGACACCAGCTCCTGGTCTGCGTGTGCCACGCCTACTGTTTCTGGTGACCTCTGGGCTGGAGCATTTGCCTAATGTTGGGAGAGAAAGCATGCCGGACCAGTGTAAGTGAGGGGATGTGGAAGGATAAGACATTTTCCCCCTCTTGAGTACACTGTTGAAAAGGGACATGGATAGTAGTACCCTAGGGCAGCTGCCATAAGTGTGTCAGGGTACTTTCAGAACTAGGCCTCATCCAAGGTTGGGTGAAACGCAAGACTGGTCATGCAACTTTTGGGTGTGGACAAATGAATCACAACAAAGGGCTGGGAATTTGCTGTGTATCAGCTACTCTGTGCATACACCGTTCATTGTAAGTGGAAACTAAACCACAGAAACTTTTGCTAAGGGTTTAACTTTCACTTACCATGAGGTAAGAACAAGCCCACGGATGGTTATTGCAGAGCAGCTGACATTTGTCCATAGCCTCAGGCACACATCCCTACATGGATCTGAGCCACATGCCTCCCATCCAGAATACTTTTCAGCAGCTCAGCCACACCTTTTGGAAGTGCTTAAATGAAAGGACAGGCACAGAGCATGTGTCCTGTAGCAGTGGGCCCATGGCTTGCCAGGCTTGGGGTGCTGCTCTGGCTTGAGTTCCCCAGGAATAGATTCTGCAATACAGAACACAGACACTCTCTGCTGAGACTGAGTTGGTGAGAGTCCCATCCCTTTGCCTGCTGAGGCTTGTCTCTCCAAGTGCCTCTTTGATTGCTGTGCTGAGACAGTGCCCTGTGCTCCTTTCTTTGGGAATACACTGTAGAACTTGCTGACTAGTTGCACAGGCTGGGTTATATAGGAGGAAGCTCTGTCTGGATAGGGAGCTGTGCAGCATGGAGCTTTGGACAGATCAACCCATGAAGGCATTCACAGTGGGACACCCTGTTGCAATACTCAAAACAAATCAGGGATAACTGTTAATGTGACTCCCAGATCCAGGCCTGGACCATGTATTTCCAAAGCTACTGAAATGTCTTCCTGAAAATTGCCTCTTGGCCTTCTCCTAAAAGCTGACTGTGTGTTCTTCAGTGATATGTCGTGGGTGCTCTCTAAGGAGAACTTTTGCATGTGCACAGTCACATGTAGCTGCTCATATATAGGTTTACACTCTCACAAGCACACATGCACTCCCCTCCTTACACATGTATATATGCACATGCTTGTGGCTGGCAAGAGCTTTCTGGTCTATGAAAATAGTGCGCTCAATGCTGAGGAGGGGAAATGTGTGGGTGGATACAGGGGAGGGAAAACCCGAGGTATATTTGAAGCAAAATATACTCTCTGGAAAGTGGATCTGGCCACTTCAGTTTGTCCCCTGCCAGGGGGATGGAGCATGACGTGCCCACTCCTGTCTTGATTGCCCTTTTCTTTTTCCATCTGCACTCTTTCTATCCCTCCAACCCTTGGATAAGTTGGATCCTATGCATGTGTGATCATGTGCTGGCAAATTTCATCACTGAAAGACTCAAAAAGGGAGCGCCGGGATGTAACTTGCTAGAGAAGTGACTCAATCAGAAGTCCCTAGTCCGCTGCCCAATGGGAAGGGGTGGAGCCTGGAAAGCAAAGACAATCTGGCCTAGGACATGGAGCAGTCCCCCAGGGTTGTCTTCCCCTCAGAGACTCCTATAGCCCAATCCCTAATTTTCCAGAAACCTTTTCAGGAAGCACAGGGAACACCCCTGATGCTCCAAGCCAGGGAATATCTCTGGGGGTGTAGTATGGGTTCCTGGTGAGCCAAAGGGCAAGCATAGGAAGGCAGTGAGCAGGTGCCCTGAGGGGATGGGAGGGAGGTGGGCTGGGAGGGAGGAGGGTGATCCTTGCCCTTCTTTTTTGGCTGTGCTGTTTTACACTCTCCGTTGCTTTTCTTGGTTTTATTTTTCCCCTCCTGCCTGGTTGATGTGTTTTTCGATATTGTTTTCCGCCCGCTGTCTTTTCTCTCTCTTACACAGAGGCTGGTGCTGATGAACATGCCCGTGGCTGAAGACATGACTGTCCATTTCACCTCCACCTTGATGGCATTGATTCGAACAGCGCTGGACATAAAAATTGCCAAAGGTATCAGTGTAGGTTGAGGGGCTGAGCAGTATGATGTAGGAGTCACTCCTGCAGGCTGGGACCCCTACTCCTCACCGCCTGTTACAGGATGCAGAAGTCAGAGGTGGCCACCTCTGTTCGACCTAGCTCTTCCAAGCAACTGAGCAGCATGTGCTTTGATCCTGGGGACGTGAGGGGCAGGGAATAGGATTGCTGCTCAGAGCCAGAGGTGTGGATGGAACAAACTGCCAGCCAGAGAAATGTACTTCAGAGTGGGGGTGAGAGAGACAGTCCTAGTCTGTACCTTGCTCTGTGACCTTTTGCTCTGTGACCATTTGAAACTACCTGCAGCTCGGGAAGGAGCTGTCTCACTCTAGGTCCAGACCCTGCCTTCTTTCATAGGACCACAGAAAAGTAGGGCTGGAAGGGACCTCACAAGGTCATCTAGTCTAGCCCCCTGCTCAAGTCTGGTTTGTCCCTAACTAAACCATCCCAGTCAAGTATCTGTCCAACCTGCTCTTGAAACTTTCCAAGGATGGAGATTCCACAGTTTCTCTAGGTGCCCTGTTTCAATGTTTGACCACCCTCACAGTCAGGAAGTTCTTCCTAATTTCCAACCTACATTTCCTCTGTTGCAGCTTGAAGCCATTGCTCCTAGTCCTCTTCATTACAGCCATTGAGAAAAGGCCATCTCCAGCCTCTCTATAATTGCCCTTCAGATATTGGAAGAATTTGATTAAATCCCCCTTCAGTCTTCTCTGCTTCAGACTAAATAAACCTAGTTTTTTCAGGCTTTCCTCATAGGTCTTCCTTCCCAGGCCCCTAATCATTTTTGTCACTCAGCGCTGAACTCTTTCCAATTTGTGCACATCCTTGAAATGTGGAGCCCAAAACTGGACACAGTTCTCCAGATGAGGCCTCACCAGTTCTGAATAGAATGGAACAATCATTTCCCTTGATTTGCACTCCTGTTAATACAACCCAACAAGAGTTTTGGCAAGCTGTCAAGGGCTGCATAGGTAGCCCCGCCCCTTGACAGGAGCTCTGCCCCCTGGTCGCCATCTTGTGGCCAGAAGTCTCGCCCTCTAACCCTCGACCTTTACCACCAGAAGTCCCTCCCTTTACCTCCAGAAATACTCCTTTCAGCAAGGGGTTTTGCCATCTTGGAACCAGAAAAATACCAGATTATATTCTAAAAACTGAACATTTACAACATTCATTAATTTGATTTCAAACAATGTTTTTGCCCTGATTTACATGTGTTTGTGCAGTGTACACAGAGGTGACTGCACAATAGCTTAACTGAAGTCTTACTCCTGTGTATTGTGGGGGGGTGGGAGGCATTGGTATAGGTTTGTTGGGGGCTGTTAGTGCGTGGGTATGCAGGGGGCAGGGGGGGTGTTTATGTGGGGGGCTGGGGGCCTGGGCAAGGGGCAGCGGGTTGGGAGTGAGAGGCACCAGCAGGGCCAGGGGACTGTTTCAACTTAAATTATTTCCTGGGTCAGGACTGGCCATCAATGTTTACAAATGGGTCCTGGTACAAAAAAGGTTGAGAACCACTGATCTAGTCAAAGCAGGACCATCCCTAACTATATCTTCCCAGCCAAGGCTTTGTCTAGCCATGTCTTAAAAACCTCTAAGGATGGAGAGTCCACAACTTCTCTGGGTAGCCTGTTCCAGTACTTTACTATCCTCCCAGTTAGTAACTTTTTCCTAATATCTAACTTAAATTTCCTTTGCTGCAATGTGAGACTATTGCTCTGTGTGTGGTCATGTCCCACCACTGAGAATAGTTTAGCACCATCCTCTTTGTAACTATCCTTCAGGTAGTTCAGGGGTGAACAAAATACAGGTGCAAAAAGGTGCTGGTTGGTATAGCCCACCCTATCCCCACATGCAGCACTCAGGCTGTAGTCTGTGGGGCCAGGCAGGAGGTTGGGGGGCTTGGCATCCCTGCAGCCCCTGCCACCACCACCTGGGAGTAGGCACAGGCCCCTTCACCATTGGACCCTGGCCCTGCTGCTCAAGCACCCCTGCCTGTCCATCCTGCACCCACTGCCAGGGGCACCAGATAAAGCAGGCGGGCAGGTGGGGTCTCCATGGAGACCAGCCCAGGACCCCCACAGGCAGGGTGCACTTGGCCAGGCAGATGGGATGGGGCTGCAGGCAGGTGGAAAACAGCATCTGGGAGTGGAACCGATGGCTGGTGCTAGGGCTGGGATTGCAAGGTGGTGATGGCATGGGACCAGGGCCTGTCACAGGGACATGCAGGGAGCAGATTGCAGCTCTTAATCCTACCCAGCCTGGTGTCATCTGCAAACTTTCTAATCCTATCTTCCAGATTGCTGATGAAGGTATTGAATAAAATTAGCCCAACGACCAACCCCTGGGGCATGCCACTTGATACAGCTGCCAACTAGTCATTGAGCTATTGATTACTACCCTTTCAGCCCAATGATCCAGCCAGTTTTCTATCTATCTTACAGTCTATTCATCCAACCTGTACTTCCTTAGCTTGCTTGTGAGAATGTTGTGGGAGATTGTATTACAAGACTTGCTGAAGTCAAGGTATATCACGTCCGCTGCTCTCCCCACTTCCACAGAGCCAGTCATCTCATCATAGAAGGCAATCAGGTTGCTCAGGTATGACTCGTCCTTGGTGAATCCATGCTGACTGTTCCTAATCACCACCTTCTCCTCCAAGTGCTAAGAAATTAATTCCTTGAAGACCCTTCCTTGAAGACCCTTCATTGTTTTTCCAGGGACTGAGATGAGGCTGACAAATCTGCAGTTCCCTGGGTCCTCCTCCTTCCCTTTCTTAAAGATGGGCACTATATTTGCCCTTTTCCAGTCATCCAGGACCTCTCCTGATCACCACAAGTTTTCACAGATAATGACCAGCAGTTCTGCAATCACATCAACTAACTCCGTCAGTACCCTCGGGTGCATTGTGTCTAACCCCATGGACTTGTACATGTCCAGCTTTCATAAATAGTCTCTAAACTGTTCTTTTGCCACTGTTGACTGCTCACCTTCTCCCCAAACTGTGCTGCCAGGTGCAGTAGTCTGGGAGCTGACCTTGCCTGTGAAGACTGAGGTAAGAAAAGCACTTATCCTTGTAATTCTCATCTGATTGGTTACAGACAATTTTTTCCCAGTTTATTCAGGTCATTCTGGATCCTAGCCTTGCCCCCCAGAGTGTCTGCAACTCCACCCAACTTGGCGTCACCTGTAGATTTGCTAAGCATGCACTAAATGTCATCATCCAAATCATTACTGAAACTGTTGAACAATTCTGGACACGAGTTGGATCTCTTGGGAATCCCAATTGATATCTCCTAGACAGCTCATTGATTACTCATTGAGCACAATGTTCCAACCAATTATGTATCCATAATATAGTACTTTTATATAGTCTGTATTTCCTTAGCTTGTTACTGGGAATGTCATAGGAGACTGTATCCAAAGCCTTGCTGAAGTCAAGGTATATCACACCCACTGCTCTTCCCCTATTCACAGAGCCTGTCACTTTATCGAAGAAGGAAATCAGGTTGGCGAGGCATGACTTGCTTTTGGTGAATCCATGCTGGCTCTTTCTGATCATCTACTCTTGATGCTTCACAGTAGATTCCTTGAGGACCTGCTCCGTGATCTTTCCAGATTTCATGGTCAGACTGACTTGTCTATAATTCCCCATATTTTCCTTCATCCCTTTCTTAAAAATGGGGAGTATATTTTCCCTTTTCCAATATCTGGGACTTTACCTGAGCTCCACAAGTTCTCAAAGAGGAGAGCTAATGGTTTTGAAATTACCTCAGTCAATTCCTTCAGTACCCTAGAGTGCATCCCATCCAGGCCTGCTGACTTGAAAGCATTTAGCTTCTCTAAGTAATCCTTAACCTGTTCTGCTATTACTCAGGCCTTTTTGTCTCCTTCCCTATCTTTGCTGCCAACTACACTAGTCATCTGGTAGCTGCCTCTATTTGTGAAGGCTGAAGTGAAGAAAAGGCATGAAATGCTTCGTCCTTCTCTGCATCATCCATAGCTAGATTGTCTTCCGCATCCTGTAAGGGAGTTATGGTTTCTTTAGCCTTCCTCTTACATTTTACATACGTGTAGAATCCATTTTTATTGACCTTTATGTCCCTTGCCAGTTGCATCTCAAATCATTCCTTGGCCTTTCTCATTTTCTCCCTACATGCCTGTGCAATACTTTTATACTTTTCTGTAATACCTTCTCACCAGTTCCCTGAATTTGTTACAGTCTGCTTTTCTTTATTCGGCTGTTCTCCTTTCTTTTTCCCTTTAGGAGCTTGAACTTTTTCATGGTCACTGTCATCCAAGTGACCTTCCACCTTCACATGCTCAGCCAATTCTTCACCATTTGTGAACAGCAAGTCAAGAGGAGCTTCCCCCATAATTGGCCTATCTACCATCTGTATCAAAAATTTATCCCCAACACACTCCAAGAATTGGTGGACTGTTTGTGCACTACTGGGTTTCCCTCCTAGTCCTATGATGGTCCTATGGGCCTATGATTTGCAAGCTTCCATCAACTGTTTCAAGGCCTTGTCCACCTACTTCTCCTGATTTGGTAGCCTGTAGCAGATGTCCACTATGACATCCCTTCTGTTGCTCTCCTTTCTGACCCTTATCCAGAGGTTGTCAACAGGCCTACCTTCCACTTCGTTCTGCACCTCGGAACATGTGTATATTGTCTATATATTTGGCAACACCTCCTCATGTCTTCCCCTACTGATCCTTCCTGAACCAGCTGTACCCCTCCAAGACTGTACTCCAGTAATGTGAACTATCCCACCCCATTTTTGTAATCCCAGGTACACCACAATGTTGGTGGACTTCATGTTTGAAGCAGCTGTACTCAGAAAGCAGAAACAGAGCATAGCTCTTTACTGCGAACTGCCAGGGGAGAGGTGGAGAGAGCTCCCATCCCACCAGCAAAAATTAATCACAGAAACCAAATCATGAGAGAGGGAGGCCCCCTCCTTCTAGCCAATGGACAAGAAGCAGTGTTCACTGAAGGAGAAATGTTCCTGGTTACGATGAAACAGGTGTCTTTGTCAGAAAGTACAGATTCATTAGAACAACTCTTTTTATGGGCACATGCCAGTTTCAATTAAACTGTCACTGGGAAAGGATTTGTAGGGCCAGGATGGCATTATTGGCCAAAACCAGAGATGGAGCTAGAGAGAGGAAAGAGGCCAATAGCAAGGGGGTGTGGAATTTGCCTGGGATAAGAAAGACCATGGTTTGAGTCCCTGCTCTGTATGGATCAGACCATGTGGCTTGAATCAGTGTTGAACGTAAGTGCCTTAGCTGTTACCAAGCTATGGCACTTCTTAGGTAGGTTCATCAGTCTCTCCTCTTGAAGCTGTTCCATTTTATAGACATCATGAGCTGTTCATTTGATTAGGGGCTTGTATCCAAGTTTCCCACATCTCAGTGACTGCTGTAACCTCTGCTCAATACAGTCACTCTTTCTGTGCAATGATTGTTTAATTAGTTATACGGGGTGGAACTGCTCTGACAGGAGAGGCTTAGAGAGAGCCAGCCCTGACTGGCCGCTAATCTGATGGTCAGTGTCCTTACTTCAGATGTGGGAGGATGAAGTTCAAACCCTTAAGTGAATGAATATGTCCTTATTTGCCAGTGTCATCCTGATGCAGAACAAGGAAATATTTGACAAATCCAAAGTGTTTATGGGGCAGGGTAATTGTTTCCTGGTCTGTTGTATTTATGGAAGTTTGCAGAAGCCACGTCCCACCCTCAGCAGCTTGGGGCGAGGCACAAGTGAAATCCCTGGAAATATTTAAAAAAACAGTTAAAATTATGTGAAAACAATTCCATTACACTATGCTGCCCTTCCATGGCTCAGAAGAAAGGGCCATTAGAAAGCCCAGTGCATAAGACTTTGATACTGGATCGCTCAGAGAACTGGCATAAGTGACCTAAAGCTACCCCCTTTCCATTGTTGTTCAGTGGCCTTTGTGAATCTGGAATGGGGTTGTCTCCTCAGCCATATTCCCATTGGAAGGGTATGCAAGTTGCCAATAAATCTGGCTTGAACTGGTGCCCTTACCGGCAGTCTGAAAGGCCAGGTTCCAAATGGGTCTTCAGACTAAATTGACCTCCCCTACCAGAAGTGACTGCTCTTGGTGAGGGCTGAACAGCATGGTGAGGCAATGCGAGGGAGCTCAGACTGGCTTTGCCTCAGTTGCCCCAGCCCTTCAAGATGGCTGATCCATTTCATTATCTTTCACCTGCTCTCAATTTATTTACAGGAAAAGAGAAAGTGGAGCAACAGCAGGTGTGTGCATGATGGGAGGGATGGAGTGAGATTTCAATCTGTAATTAGGGGCCAAGGACAGAGAGTTTATGGCAGTTTTGTGTGGGAGAAGGGAATATTTAGAGATCAATGTGTTCATGAAAGGGGTTGTATGAGATGCTACCTGTAATGGCAGGAGTCTGGATTTGATGACCGGAGAAGTCCCTTGCCATCCCACATTCCTATTTGGCCTACCTGAAAGGCTCCTGTAATCTCCTGTGTATTAAGCCTTTGGATATTTCCACTTGTTGGTTGGAGACACTTCCCCAATCATGGCTTGATAGTGCCACCTCAGTCTTCAGAGCAAATCCATTTTCTCCTCAGAATTAAAGGAGTGTGTTCAGCTCAGTCCAGTGCCAGGAGCTAGCACCATCAGGTCCAAGGTGGTTAATGTGATTTGTTATGGTGGAAAATGTAGATAAACATAGCCAAGAGGTAGTAGACCGCCTTCCTGAAACCATTCCTGCCTGTGGTTTGCATGGGCCTATACTGTCCCTGTTTTCCAGGTGGTGCAGACTGGCAGCAGTTGGATTCAGAGCTGCAGAAGGAGATCCTGACCATCTGGCCTCACCTATCCCAGAAGATGCTGGACTTACTAGTGCCCATGCCAAAAAGTGAGTCCTTGTGCACTGGTGTTGCCAAGTTCCCACAGTGCTGGGAGCAGGCATTTCCTGGAAGGTGAACAAAGATGTGCCAATCCTGGCACATTGCTTAAGGAGAAGCAGAGAGGGGATTTACTCTGATACAAAGAAAATCCCTCCTTGCTCCACCTAAATATACTGGACCCATTTGAAAAATGCATTATCTGCAGTGATCTCCCCATGCCAAATCCATTTAATCTGGGTACAGTCTCTGACCCATTTGGAGATACTCAGGGTTGCCAACCCTCCATGATTGCCCTGGAGTCACCAGGAATTGGATATAAATCTCCAGGAGATTGCTGAGAGTAACCTGGGAGATAAATGATAGAGCATTCAATTCATTACAATAAATATTAAATGTTGAATCTGATTTATACAGTAGTCCAGAGGGTTTTTAAAATGTAATAGTAACATGCATTTGCCTCCCTGACGTATAGTCTACACACCACAATTAATGTCATTACATCATCTGATGAAAACTCCCGGAATAGATTTAAATAGAGTTGGCAACCTTAGAGATGCTGGAGGCAGGGGGCAGAGAATTCTTCATTTCCTTTGATTTGGGAACAATGACCATGTGATGGGTATGCCTAGCTCTAGTGAATGATTCCTACGCTACTAAAATGTCCATCTCCACCCAATCCTAAATCACCCTAGGGACTTTTTATTTTATTTTATTTTAATCCACTCTCCTCTGGAGCAGTGAACAGGGATTGTCTTTGAGAATCAAGAGGATGTGATACCTCTCCTGCAGTTGCATGGGTTAGTATCCTCAGACCTTCCCAACTCCTGCTTCGGTTATCACAAAATACCCACCTTTATGCTTGCAGCTTCGGACCTGACTGTTGGCAAAATATATGCAGCCATGATGATCATGGACTATTACAAGCAGAGCAAAGCAAAGAAGCAGAGGCAGCAACTGGAGGAACAGGTGAGGTTCAACCACAGCATGAGGTGGCTGGTGCCCACATGCTACAGCTGAAGGTGGTGAGCTCACAGCTTCTCCAGAGGGGGAATTTTCTGTGTGGATAGGACCACCGAGCTAGATGCTGACCATACAGATCCTCAGCTTAGAAGTGGCTGGCACTGTACCAAGAAAGCAAAGAGTCTGAAGACTTAAGGGATGCGGGAGTTAAGGGAATGAGAGCTAAATTAAAAGGTGGGTGATCTAATGCAGGTATAATCACAGCAATCTAAAAGTCATGCTGCACAGAAAAAGTGAGTAGTTAGAGGGACCAATTCATAAATGGGAAGTGTTACCATACCATTATCCTTCTGTGCACGAGGGGTATTTATACACTAGAAAGATTCCTCATCTTCAACAGGATCAGACTGTTTCTTTCTTAATACAGAAAAATGCCCCTATGTTCCAGCGCATGGAGCCCTCATCTCTGCCTCAAGAGATAATTTCTAATGCCAAAGCTCTGCCTTACCTCCAGCAAGACACCCTGTCAGGCCTGTAAGTATAGCCATGAGAGCAAGAGATTTGCTCCGGTATTTCTATTACTACAGCCTTTCTTGCTTTCCCTGAAAGTGCATTAGACATGAAAACAGAGATGGTAAGTGGTGCCCAGAAGAAGAGGAAATCCTCACGGTGACCATCAACTTCTTGATTTTGGAGCCTTGGACCTATTCTTTTATTAGGGTCACCAAAAAAAGTTTGTGTAATTAAGAACATGGACAGCATCATCTTATATATTCAACAGTGCAAACATTGTCCAACATGCTATTACTGCAAAAATTAGTGGTGCTAGATTGCTTATCAGACTAGAAGAGAGAATGAGTATCTTAGTTCAAGATCCCCAGTTTAAAAGCAGTCCAGGCTCATAATGACTAAAACTCCTTACTCTCTGATTGTGGTTTAGTTTAGGGGTGCTCAACCCCCAGCCCATAGGTCCAATCTGGTGCACAGAGCCCACAGGGCTCCCCCTGGGTCAGGACATTTAGTGGCAATTAATACTGCCACCCCTCCTCTGCTTCCAAACTCTCAAGCCCTGTGCAGCCAGATCTGGCTGGGCCACATCTCCTTCCCCACTTCCCCCTGTGCATCGCCAGATTGGAGCCAGACCATTCACAATTTGTTCATCTCTTGGGATGGTTCCTCTGTGCTGGGGTTGAGATACATTGCAGCATGGAATGGGGAAGTTAGTCCTGCATCTCTCCTTGCTCTTTCTGTTGTTCTGAGAGTAAATATGGATTAAGGCTGTCAGTGCATCAGCTTTCTCCAGCACTAAACTTACGAGTGACAATACAATCTTCCATGGAGACAATGCCCACATCAAGAACACACCTGTCCCAGTAGGAATACCATCACCATGATTAAAGTGGCAATAACAATGACAGGCAGCCCTGTGGAAGTTGCCATTGTAAGTCACAGTCATTAGCCACAAAATAACTTTGCTGCTCCACGGTGAAACCAAACATTCTGTCTTTGAAGAGCAAAGCTGCTCTGATTGTCAGACGAGCAGCAGAAAAGCCATGTGGAATCCAGTTTTGGAATTGTCACTGGGCTCCCACATTGCACATGGTAAAACTGACGTCCCTTCTCAGCAAAATGTGAGCTGTCAGGGCAGTGATCAGGATTGGCAGCTTTGCATTCCACACAAACTCGCAGCTTGCTATGAGGAATACAGCACTGTGTGACACAAGACCACTCTTCAGGAGGTTGAAGACAAAGATCATTGTCAGACATTGTAACACAAAGGTTTGCTTTCTCTCACTGATGTTGGACTCTCTTTGCAGGAGCAGCCGGAGTGGGTTTCCCTCCCTGAGTCCACTCTCTCCTCAACAGATATTTCAGCTGGCTTGTATGGATCCAACACATGGGCAGTACCAGGAGCACCAATCACTGGTAAACTGATGCACTGCCTTGTCCATGTTTCCTTCGTGAGACCAGCACCACTCCCTTGCTCAGTATTCAAAACTGACTCCCAATGCTACTTACCTACCCTGCACACATTGTCTTGAAATCCCTCCTACGTTTTGTAAACTCTGTAAGAACCCTTCTGCTAATTGACCCCTCCTCTACAACAGATTTTGGGAAATATTCTCTAGAAGCATCCTTCTGGCTGGCAGTGAAACATGAATCGTTTATCCTAGACATAAAGCTAAGATGTCCTGATCCTGCCTTCTTTTGGTAAATTGGAGAATAGTGATCTCTAAACTGTTTCTGGAACACATTTGTAACAAATTAGAATGAATTCCCTGAGGACCTGGACTCAGTGACAAGACTCACATTGACATCAGCAGGTTTTGAGTGAGACCCTGAAATAGGTTACACCAGGACAGTGCCTGGAGTGGCATGGTACAATGCAAAGGGAATATGGAAGCATGTTTGGTGTTAGGTTGCTCCTTACAGCTCCTTTACCAGGCTTTAGATGGCTCTGTACACATGCAGCACAGTGAGGGTCATATTTCTTTCCTGCATGGTGGCTGAGGACTGGCAGTTGCTTGACAAGAGGATGGAGAGAGGGAGTGGAAACAAATGTACCTTTAGGTCTGTACAGAGCTTGCATGAGTAACCTGAGTGCATCCAGTGGATTTCCAGTGTTTCAGATCATGCCCAGGCCCAAGCATAGAGACTCATAATGCACGTCCACCAGGTACCAATGTCGTGGCCCAGATTCCCAATTGCAGTAAATCAACAGGACTCCATTCAAGCTATGCTGAGTTACACCAGCTGAGAATCTAGCCTACCACCTCATCACAGCAGCTGAATTAGCTGAGCAGCAGGTGCTATTCAGAGACATTTCCCTAAGGAACCTCTGAGCAACTGGGTGTTCTTCCTCACTCAGCAGGTTTCACAGCTTGACGGAGGCCTTAAGACATTGTGATACTGCAGTACAATGGCTTGCTATAATGCAGTAAAATATCCTTTTTTCACAGGTTGATTTCTTTTAGTAAATACTCATTTCAGTGGGTCACCGTGGGCTGAATTATGGTATTTGATGCTTTGGATTCATGTTCATCTTGTTGTCAGTGCTGGTGTCCCTGATCAAAACTGAATTGTTGAGTTGTGTTACACAAATGTGAGCATACACCTCTGGCCTACACACATGCCCACATCGTGGTCAGCAGCACGAGTGTCTGTGTGTGTGTATATGTATGCATGTGTGCATCTGTGCACCACTCTTACACTTGTTGGACTGCAGTGTTGTATCACTGTACATTTCCAGTCCGATCTGTGTGCTTCTCAGAGTTTGTAGCACTCTTTTTGTAATTCTGCATTGAACACACTGCACCTCTCCATATAATTCAACCTGTCAGCCCAAAATGACAACTGCATAGTCAGTCTGTCATGAAGACTGCTGGCAGTGAAGGAAGGGTTATGATGATGAATTCCTCCCTTTTGATGTCACTTCCTGGGGAAAATGCACATTTCTCTGATGTCACACCCTAACAATGCAAAATCATGGACCATTTTTCTCTTTGACCAAAACAAAAGAGATTTCAAAGAGAGAAATGAACCAAACATACCAATATGACATTTAGCCCTTCTTGTTTAACTTGGATGTGGCTGAAAAAAAACCTTTTAAACATTTAGACAGTTTAATTACAAAAGACCCATCCAGCTTAAATATGGAAGAAGCAGAAGCACATAAATTCCAGGGGGTTACAAACATCCAGTTGAGGTATTTTGTCTGCATACTGGTGTTTAAATAAAAAAAGGTTGATTTGGTGTCAGACAAGCAGGACACATGGTCTGGATGTCTGTGCTCCCCTGGAATAGAGTCTGAAACAGAATCTACTTACCAAGTAAACTGTTATTAATGCTAAACCCAGTTGATCTTAGACTTACTCTTTGGCCAGCTTAAAATCCCACCCCTAGTTTCTGAAATGTGGAAGATGTAGCTGCCCTTCTTGCAAAGCCATTCCCAATACCAACAGCACCAACACTGGAAGGAGAGGAGCACCAAAGTGATTGAACCAAATCCCATGAGCTTGGCTGTGTGTTTATTTCCAGGAGCCAGAGGTTAGAGAGTTTAAAAGAGTGCAGCCCTCTAACCGTGGCAACTATCTCCCCGTGGACACTCAGGAACGCGCTGTATCTGGGAGGGCCTCCTCCATGCCACGCCTGACAGTGGATCCCCAGGTAAAACCAAGCAAAACCATAACTGGACTTGTAGAAATGCCTGACTTTAGCTGTATGATACAAAAAGGGGTTCCGTACTTTTTCCATGTGAAATCTTTCCTGCTGCTGTGTCAGGCCCTCATAAAAACATGCCAGGTATCACTAGTATCTTTCCAGAGGCTTGCATGGGAAACAGCCTTACCAAAGCTATGTATTTGACCCCTGCTACTATGGTATGATCATCTCGCTATCATGTGGAACTGAGACAGAGAGACTAAAGTCTAATTCCACCTGCTAGGCATCTAAGTGGCATATAGGCAACTTTTATGCATTTAAGTGTCTACATGCAATCATACTGCACCCTGCAAAAGTCCCTAAGAGACTGTTAATGTGTCTGTTTTATAATATGCCTCCTTAAATGTATGAGAATGGGAGAGCCCTGTGCCTCCCCAAGCAGAATAACTGCACTTACCTGAAGTGAAATGCATGTTTTTGAGTGAGCTGATGCAGGGGCTTAGATGCCTCAGAGGTGGGATAGGATCTAAGTGACTATGAACCTAAGTGACTCACCCAGGGTGACACAGAAATCTCTGATGGAGTGGGAATTGCCTTCAGATCTTCCAAACCCAAAGGCATCGCCCAAGTTACTAGACCATCTTCCCCCTACCACCAGCTGATCCAGCTTCGCTGGTATCCTGCTCACATACAGCACCTTTGGAGAAACCCTGCCTGCCCAGAAAATACTTTCTCTGGTGATTACTTTCCTTCTGTTTTCCTTCCTCTTCCATTGTCCCAAAACATATGCATACCTGTGTGGCACTAGGCAGTCTGTCCTGATCAGCCCCAGCCATGCTCCATTTCCTTGTTTGTCTGCCTGGTTTTTCTGTCTGTCCATCTCGTATTCAGTTTTGACCAAGACATGAAAGCTTTTCCAGGGTTTATTTTCATAACCATGGGCCCACGTATCTTCAGTGGCAGTTACAGTGTAAGCCAGACCTTCCCATGCCAAAGGGAATTGGTCCACTGTTCCTAGTTCTGTTTTTGTGTTAAATCTGCATTGCTTATCTACAGCAGCACTTTGGCATACATGGAGAGAAGAAGAACTTTTTCCTGCTGACTTTGCAGATATATTTGGTCATTTGACACCTGGGAGCATTGGATGTTTGAAGGCTTTTGGCTGTTTTGTCTCCCACTGCCCCTACCTGTCCAACCATCCCCAAATGAGCCAAGTCAGTTCAAGCAGGCATAGCAGCTACTCAACCATCATGCCCAAAGGGGAAGCACTGGCTCCCTGAGGACTGGTTGAACATGGCTGGTGGATGGCAAGGTGAAAAATAGTAATAGCTTTGCTTTAAAGAAAAAAATGGCAGAGGAACAAGACATGGAAGCAGGAGAGTAAGTCAGAAAGAAGGCACAAGCAGAGGAGACTGGAAATGGGAGACCAAAGGAGAGGAAGAGAGCATATCCAAAGATAAGGAAGGGAAAATCATTTTAAATAAGGGAAAAAGTGCATTGACTTGTTACGGATAAAAAGAACAAGGGAAGACAACAGGGGAAAGAGAAAGGTAAGGGGACAAGAGCACAAGGAGTAGAAAGTGGGAAGAATGGTGAAAGGAAGAGAAGCATGGAAACCATGATGGATTCCTGAGAAAAGAGAATGGAGAGGAAAGAAGGGATAAAGGGATAAGGGAGTGGAAGAGTGGGTGAAAGAAAGAATATGTAAAAAGAGGAGAATATGGAGAGTGAATAACATTAGAAGGCAAGGGAGATGGGTAAGGAAATAAGTGGAGAGAATGGGAGGAATTGGAGGAGGGATCAAGAAATGATGATGGGCTGAAGTAAGTCATGCTGGGGAACAGTATGTGGAAATGTGACAAGTTATTAAAATTAAAAAGGTGGAGTTTCCCAGGGTGAATAACCCGATAGTATCACTTTTTCCCTCATAGATTTTTTTCTGCTGTCCCTTCTCCCACATCAGTCTGTGCCAGTTGAAAGTTTAGCCCTGTTGTTTAAGTGAATTCTCCCCTGTTAAATGCCTCATGCTTCATCCTGCAGAGGGTCTGAGCAGCAGGGGCTCTGGTTAGTCTCCCTTAGGCATTGCTCTGACACCTTGACACTGCAGTGGCCCATCACCCCCCTGGCACCACTGCTGGACTCCATTACTCATCTTGCCCTTGTATTCCCCTGGGATGCATTTGCAGGTGGTTACAGACACGAGCTCTATGAGACGATCATTCTCCACCATCCGGGACAAACGTACCAACAGCTCCTGGCTGGATGAGTTCTCCATGGAGCGAAGTAGTGAGAACACTTACAAGTCCCGCCGGCGCAGTTACCACTCCTCGCTACAGCTGACTGCTCGCCGCCTGAATGCAGACTCAGGTTAGCAGGGTTCCTTCCCAGATTCCTCTCCACCAGTTCCAAAGTCTTGTCCAAGGGAGGAATTCACTCCTTTCTAATGTCAGGCAGTGTGTATACTACAGGGGTTGAGGACACTATAACTACAGTGATACTGCAAAGTCAGCTGGGTCCCCAGTATAGATACAGCTCTGCTGACAGAACGTTTTTTTTCTGCAACCACCCCTACATCAGGGGAAAGTGCTGCAGGCCGAACCCATCTTTGGTGACCACAGCTGCATCCTCACTGAAGCTTTTGCAGGCAAAGCTACATTGGCTACAGGGTGTGACTTTTGATGAAAAGTTTGTGAGCCAGAGTGATACAGAAGCTGGAAATGAGAAGGTTCTCCTATACCAGGAGACTAGGAGTTGGGGAGAGGGAAGCAGAATGAGCAGTGGGCAGATTGGGGAAGAAACAGTGTTCTTCAAAAGGAGATCCCACAGTCCAAGGGTTTCCAAAATGAGGTGTCAGATCAATTGCAGAGGGCCAGCTGGTCTCCAGTGTTCCAGTCTTGGCTTGGAGACCCCTCCAGCTGTGGCCTGGTGTAGTGCTCCTCCAACTGAGGGAATCTCTAAGCATCTTGATTTCACATTTCTATGGTTAACTCCCAACCACAGCCTCAGCCCAAGGCCCTTCTGGCAAACTCTTCTGGTTATAGGGCTGTTCCTGACCTCTTGTTGTTCTGGTCCCTGCCTTCTTGACTGGCAGCAGCATGCATTGGAGTTGCTTAACCACTAAGTACAAGTCCTGGAGCTGCTACATAGATAAAGTCCTAAGAGGGAGTTGGAAAGAAAGGGAAACAAGGTCTGTGGACCAGGCTGTAAGTCAATAGAGGACTCAATAAACCTGAGCAAACTGGATTCCAACATGTCCAGGGAGTCGGTGGACTGGAACAAGGATGCGAGTCACATAAAGGGTTCACCCCTTTATGTGTGACAAGTTGCAACATTCTGTATATCCTGTGGTCTGGAGAGCTGGGACTTGGCAGAGCCAGAGGAGAGGGAGTTTCTGAGTTAAGGCATGGATGAAAGCCGTAGCCAAGCTGAAAGCGAGGCAGTGGCTTGCATCAGCATGGCTGTGGAGGTGGTGGTAGGCACATTTACAGGCAGAGAAGATGCGGGAGAAGGAAAGTTCAGATGCCAAGATTACAGACAGCAGAGGCAAATTGGAGGTCTGTGCCAAGAAAGGAGGTAGAGTTGTGTTTCAGGCTGCCCAGGCAAAGCATCTCTCTCTCAGATGCTGATTTGATAGAAGCTGAGACACTGTCATAAAGCTTGCCTAGTTAAAACCGGTAATAAGTACTTGGTGGATGGGGGAGGCTCACTACACATGCAGAAAGTTTCGTGCAGCCGAGTATATTGAGTGGAAAAGTGATCCTGGAGGTAAATATACATACATAGCTGAGAAGCCCAAGAAGGCATAAGGCAGGAGCAGGCTGAGAACTGAGTCTTACAGGAGTCCATTAAAGTGATATCATGACATGGAAGATTTTATCACCAGAGACTAATAATTTTGTCTCCAGAGATTCACCAGGGTCTAAGAAGGAGAATCATTATCAGAGGGAAACACATAGCTTTGCCAATGGTGTAAAAGGATATAATGGTCCACTGGGTTGAAGAATGAACTGAGAGTGAGGAAGGAGAAAGACATTACAGACAGCAACCACAGAAAAAGGTCATTAATTCTGTGGAGGAGAGCAGTCGTCATGCTGTGACCAAAACAACTCCAAACTGAAGACAGCCCAGGACAGTGTAGTATGAGAGGCAAATGAAGGGATTGCAGTTGCTTGCTAAGGCACCTCAGTGAGCAGTCAAACCATGGTCAGAGGAAGACCTTGTAAGAAGACGCTGAGCATTGCAGATGGACCCCTCTTGTAGTGGCTGCAGGGAGTCTGAGGAGTCAGAGGTGTGGAGGCAGCAACATAGATTCATGGGATGGAAACAATCCATTTCCCTTCTGCAGGAGGACAAGGGCATTCTTGGCATTAGGGTTAAGGAAACAGCCTCCTCCAAGAGTGGTTATGACCTTGGACTCACACTTTGAATAAATCAAAACATTCACTGTTGGTTTTCAAGAAGACTGAACAGGCATCTGGTCTGGTATGGTATAGGTACAGCACAAGCTGCATCTGGGCAGGGGTGAGACTAGGTGACTTCAAGGCCTTCCCTTCCCTGTGACTGTGATTCATTCTGTCCCACTGTGGGCCTCTGGGAAATCTTACTGCCCACCTTTGTTCTCCCCAGGCCACCGGTCTGATACGCATCGTTCAGGTGGCAGAGAACGAGGGCGATCCAAAGAACGCAAGCACCTGCTGTCCCCAGACATCTCCCGCTGCAACTCAGAGGAGAGGAGTCCCCAGGCAGACTGCGAGTCTCCAGAACGGCGGCGTCAATCCAGATCACCCAGCGAGGGCAGGTCGCAGACGCCCAACAGGCAGGTAGGGATGAAACCAACAGAACAGAAGCTGTCATTGCAGACAAGGATCGTGAAATAGGAGAAAACAAAAAATCATTGGCCTCTGAACTCAAGAAAATGAGTCTGTCTGCTCCATCTCTGGGGCCAAGAGGCCTTTGGGTTGTGAGGAGTATATAGAATACTACAGTGGTGCTGACAAACCCTAGCTGCATTTGGAGCTCCATTGCTTAGGTGCCCTTTAAATGTCCCAAAAGACAGGCCTTGCCTCCAAGAGTGTACAATCTACATAGACAAGGCACGGGAGTGGTTGGGAGGGAAGCACAGGCACAGAAAGGTGAATGATTTACTCCATGTCACAAAGCAGCTTAGGGTAGAGCCTTGAACAGAATCCAGGGCTCCTGAATCACTCAGATACCCTACACATTAGGGCATGGTACCTGCTTTGTGCAAGGACATTGTTGTATCATCAGAATTCAAGGTGCAAGGTCTGCAGTCAGGAAAAACCAGTGCCCAGAAGCATAAGTGCCCTTCTTTAAACTGACTACACTTACAGGCAGCTATAGCTGAGAAACAGTCCCCAGGCCTCCAGGCTGCTGCTGTAAGAAGCCCTTGCCACATACAAAATGCCCCATCATTAAACACTGTATTTTCTTTCTGAATGCAGTTGTCACTCTGGATACATAACCTGCTTCTCCACTGCCTCACCCCTTGTGCAGTTATCAGCAATCATGTCAAGTGTGTGTCCGGTTCTCTTGAGTAAAATGTTACCCCCTTTTTATATTGGAATAAGTAGCTAAATAAGGTGCAGGGCAGAAGCAAATCGGGCATCTGACACGTAAAGGTGCTTGGCCAGGGTATTAGTGTCATTGTCGCCACTTCATTTTTGTGAATTGTGAATGCACAAATGGATGATCATGAGGCCCAAAGTCCACTGTTACAAGATCGCTGAAGGAACCTGGGAGAAGCTGATCAGGAAAGAGTTTCCACCTCTCTGTTCCCTCTGCCCAAACTTCATGAGGCCTTGTTCTCCCTAGAAGAAGGCATGTTCTTACCTTGAGTTAGCCTCTTACTGCAGGCCACGCTTTGTATGGTTTGTATACCACTGAGCAGGCCAAGTTTTAGGGCAGGCTTTCTCACACTTAACTCATTTTAAGAACACACCTTCTTTCTTAGAGAAGATACAGCACCAGGAAGCTGATTTTTTTTTCAGGGCTCTGATGGGGCAGGAAACAGCTTTTGACCCAGCTCTCATCCTCTTCCATTTTGCAGGGCACAGGTTCCTTGAGTGAAAGCTCCATCCCCTCTATATCTGACACCAGCACCCCAAGGAGAGGTCGCCGGCAGCTCCCTCCTGTGCCGCCCAAGCCACGGCCTTTCATCTCGTACACCTCCATGATGCAGCATGCTGGTGACACCTCCCCACAACCTGATGAGAGCGAGGGTGGGTCCCCTCTGCTTTCCAAGGCTCTGGAGACGAATGACACCTGCCTGACCGAGTCTTCCAGCTCTCTGCAGGGAAAGCAGAGCCGGCACTCCACCCCACAGCACTACATTTCAGAGCCCTACCTGGCCCTGCACGATGACTCCCACGCCTCAGACTGCGGCGAGGAGGAGACACTCACCTTCGAGGCTGCTGTCGCCACCAGCCTTGGCCGCTCCAACACAATTGGCTCAGCCCCTCCGATGAGGCACAGCTGGCAGATGCCCAATGGGCATTACCGGAGGAGGAGGAGAGGGGCGGCACAGGGGGTGGTGTGTGGAGCTAGCATTGATGTGCTAAGTGATACGGAGGAAGATGACAAGTGCTAGAGGCCGCTGCCCCCTCCAATGCATGCTCTTCGCCACGCCTGGGAATGAAATGAAACCAAAATCAAATGCAGGAGAAACAAAATTCTTTGTGCAAAAAAAAAAGTCAACCCCTGGATTCCTTTTCTTCTTTCCTTTTTTTTTTTTCTGCACAGAGGAGCAGCATTTGATTAGCTTGTGCAACCATGGCCTGGTCAGCTGCTTGTGCTGGTGAGATGAGTGTGAAATGGCCCCTCCCAAGAGAAATGGGACTGAGTGCCTGAGTGTACTTCCCTCTGCTGCAGAGAACACAGCAGGAAGAAACTAGGCCCCCGGGATTTGTTTTTTATCATCCTTTGCCCCTTGAGGCTTGGCCAAAAAAAAAGAAACACAATCCCAGCAGGTGGCTTTAGGCACGTTTTATTTTTCCCTTGGGAAGCCAGAGAGCAGATGGATAGAGGCAGACTCAGGGCCCTTCAAGAGGTGCGCACACTATTGCTCAGGGCCTTTGGCACTGCCTGGGGTTTTTGGTTTGCTTCCCAAACATTTCAGCAACAAAACGGAAAGGAGGAATGTGTTGGGAGAGGAGGGGAGGGGCGCAGGAGCAGGATCATTTGGGTTAAGCAGCCAGACA